CTCGCATACCGAGTCGCAGCTCGGAATGGTTGCATATCAAAGCGGAACACCATTTTGTTATTAAAGGAATAAAGAACACTGACTTTTTGTATACAAAGTATGTATGTTTTGTTTTGTTCTCATAACGGACTACTGTTCTGCTACGTTACGTATATTTTGCGAAATATTTTTCATGTTGTTCGCATGACGTCAATTCAGAATCGAGTCGCCTATCAAAGCGAAACCAAATTCTGTTACTATATACGTAACGTAGCAGAACAGTAGTCCGTTATCAGAACAAAACAAAACATACATACTTTGTATACATCAAGTCAGTGTTCTTAATTCCTTTAATAACAAAATGGTGTTCCGCTTTTATATGCAACCATTCTGAGTTGCGACTCGGTATGCGAGCAAACAATATGTTGTTTTTATTCCGGAGCGTTCAATTAACAACCATACATTTTTTTAATAGGAAATCACAATTATCTGTATTATCACAACTCTGTTCTACTTTGCCTTATTATCTACCAAAAGAATACAAAGACGATTTTGCAAATGACACCATTTATGATATAATTGAAGATCTTGCTCCAAATGTCGATTATTTGTTGCGTGAGTGTCGTTGGCAGCAACAAAAAATTAACTGTTTCGATTATTTTTCTCCAGTGATGACTGACGAAGGTCTGTGCTTTAATTTCAATGGATTAAGTTCACACGAAATTTACACAGATGCGTAAGTCTAGTATTAGTATTAAATTGGTATTTCGATGCATCTAATTGCACTGTATTTGTGTAGAATGGCTTCGAGAATGATTAAAATAGGGAAAAGTCGAAATATGTCAGGATGGAGTTTGGAAACTGGTTACACCCAAAAATCCGACCATGTAAAATATCCAAGTACGGGTGATGTGGGCCAAAAGAATGGTCTTGATTTGCTTCTTTCCGGTTTTGAAAGCGATTTCGATTTTATGTGTATTCAAGTGCAAGGAGCCAGTATTAGACTGTCGGTACCTGGCGAAGCATATACTGACCATCATAATGAAGCTAATATAGATATATCAGAAAATTATCGATTAACGATTGTGCCCAGATATTCTGATATTTCGGAAGGACTACGTCGATATAAACCAGAACAACGCGATTGTTTACTTAACTCCGATCGACGATTGCGTTTCTACAAAAGTTATACTAAAGAAAACTGTTATGATGAATGTTTGGCGAATTTTATGAAGAATTCGTGTGGATGCGTTCCATTTTGGATGCCAAGTATGTAATTTATGGAATTCCATTGAGAGATATATTCATTAATTTATTTGTTTAAAGGGGATAATCAAACGAAAATTTGTGGCTCTGCAAAATATGAATGCTGCAAAGATACTTACTTCGAAGCACATTCTAATAATGGATGGTACTTTCATGTAGTATGCAAATGCATAAATCCCTGTATACACATCGTATACGATTTAAAAGTTGAACAAAATCATTTATATACTGAAGAAACCAGACGCTCTCAAACAAACAGCACAAAGTAAGAACAATTATATTACATGTAACTAACTAGTTAAACTAAGCAGCTAATTGAGTATATAATTTGTATACTTTTAGCCAACACCTCACACAGTTGTCTATATTTTTCGAAGAATCATCAGTTAAGGTAGTGGAACGAATGGAAACATATACGATCACCGATTTTTTGGCGATTTGTGGTGGTTTGCTTGGATTATTCATGGGCATTTCACTATTGAGCCTCGTCGAAATTATTTATTTTGCCACTCTTCGATTGTTTTGGATCATTCGTCGACCGAGAACTGAAAATATAGAGACGTCACCTGAAATACCACCTCCGGAAGGTCTGGATTATGAGAATAGAGTGGTTTGTTAAAAGCAATTCTTTTGTATGGAAAGCCAAACGTAAAATACGTTCATTTATTTATTTTGTCTTTTATTCAGATAAAAGTACTACGTCGCTTTTGCTATGTGATGCGGACATTTTTCGTGGAATACTGTCGGAATAGCAACCTTAATGGCTTTCGATATCTCGAACCCAATAGGAATTTACATGCGAGTGAAAAGTAAATGCAAATAGATTAAAACGGCAATATTATTATCGATTCATTGAATGTATGTGTTGCTTCTAGGCTCTTGTGGTTAATTGCCATTGGCGTTGCGCTTGGATATTGCGGTTCAATTATTGAAAATCAATACACTAAATGGCAAATGAATCCACAAAAAATAGATATAAGGGAAACGATAGCCGCAACTTTGATGATCCCATTTCCAACAATTACCACGTGCTCCGAAATCAAAAATAGGAAATCGGAATTTGACATAGCTTCAACACTCAAATCTAATTTATCCGTGGACAGGTGAGAATCGAAAAGAGAATCCTTTGTTTTCTATCGTTTTGAATAATGTCCAACTTATGTATGTTTAGCTCGAGGCGATTAAAGGCTTTGACTCATATCTGTCCACTTCTGCCCAATCACATTACATTCACGGACAATTTTACAAGCGAATCAATTTATGAAACTTTACAAGATATAGCATCGAAATTTCCAATGAATTGTTATTGGAATTATCATGAGAAATGCCCGACATTTATGGTACCAATTTTGACTGAGGATGGCCTGTGTTTCACTTTTAATGCTTTAAATTCATATGAAATGTACACAGATGAGTATGTTTATTTTTTTTATTAACATTTTTTATATTTTCATACGTTTTTTTTAATATCCATGAAAATGTTTGAAGAATGGCCCCTGGAATGATGACTGTCAAAAATAATCCAAACGTATCCGGATGGAGTTTGGACAGTGGATATTCATATCCATGGGGAATTGATAATAATACATATCCAATTCAAGCTGCTAATTATAAACTACTCAATTTTGTGCAATTTTTTGTTGAGATGTATCCAAACGATTACGAGCATAAATGCAGCGGACTTGAACAAGGTCTTAAGATAGTATTATCAACACCTGGCGAAGCACTGAGAATGTCACAGAATTACTTTCGAATCACAGAGAGTGAAAATATTAAAATGTATCCTGAAATGATTGAGGTTACTAAGAAGTTACGCCACTATCAACCAAATCAAAGAAAGTGTTTTTATAGCGACGAGCGACGACTGCGTTTCTTTAAAATGTACACCGAAATCAACTGCGAAGAGGAATGTTTGGCGAATTTCACCAAGACAATGTGTGGATGCGTGAAATTCTCAATGCCAAGTATGTCTTCACATTGAATTTGAGTGAAAAACTCTCATCATTATCACATCAATTATTATTCGACAGGAGATGTGAATACAAAAATATGTGGTGGCGCAAAGATGAAATGCTTAAGTGATGCACGAAAGATATTCTGGGCAACGAATAGTGGAAAAACTGTTCGAGACCAATGTAATTGTTTGCCAGGATGTACAATTATAAAATACAATCCAGTAATTGATCGACCCAAACAAGATTTAAAAACTTCACCTTCATACGATTCCAAAAAGGAGTAAGATTCACATTTACAATTAAAATGAAATCCATATTGTTTATATCTTTAAATTTTAGTCCTCATATACCTTTATTTTTTAAAATACGAAGCGGAGAAGGGTATGTGAAGAAATCCACAAGAATTGAATTATACAGTGTTCCAGATTTTTTGGCAATTTGTGGCGGTTTATTGGGATTTTTTGTGGGCGCTTCAGTATTGAGCATAATCGAACTCATTTACTTCTCCACTCTTCATTTATTTTGGAAAATTCGATGTACGCCATCAGCGAATGCCGTCGCTACATCTAATGGTGACGTAGAGAATATCGCTTCAACGAGCAATCAAAATATGTACATTGAAGACATTGAGTTAAGTTAAAAGAGACATGTAGAATTCCCCATTAAATTGAACCTTACACCCTAAGACCGACTTTCTTCGGCATTTCATATTCAGTTTTATGTGAAATTCACGAGAACAAGCGCGCTATGACAGGACAATTAATTCATTTTGATTTATGTCAATTGAAATGTTGGCAGTTCACCCAAGGGTAAAACCTAAACTAGTCTCGAAGCCACTTTTAAAATTATCATTGATCATGAGATAGTCCACAATTTTAACACAAAATCATAAATAACAAATTAGAAATGAACCATATCGCTTGATATGTGAACATTTTCAAGATCAATTAATCTAATGCAATTTAAAAGTGCCACTCGTGTACACTGATTGCATGAAATCCAACCGCATAAATTTAATCCTATAATATTATCAAATTGAATAAACATGTTTGCACGTACACATTTATGTAATGACAAAAATAAGGACGTATTAATATATAAAATGGAGAAGTCTGTTAGGAAAAAGTGTAAAAGGCTTTTGAGTGTTCAAGTGTGAAAATGTGTAAAATATTCAATATGGAAAGACTAAATCAATTTCGAAAGACAATTCAGAGTCAAATTCAAGTTCTAGTAAGTCATCTTAGCTCATTTAAATAGGCAAATTACACGTATGACAATTTACAGATGAACGCGATGATCCACTTTATTCAAATGATGTGGAAAAGTGTGATTGTTCGGATTATCATGGTGCTTCGAAATTTTCTCCAGGACTTTTGCACAAAGAGTAACATTCACGGTCTTCGATATTTCGCCATTCAAACACTTCATTGGAGTGAAAGGTATCACGAATACATTTTGAATTTTCATCAAAATTAATTTCCAATTTTATCTCTATGACCATAGATTCTGGTGGATAATTAGTTTTATCATAGTATTTTCGTTATGTGGATTAATGATTCGTGGCATTTGGATCGAGTGGAACGAGAATCCGATGACCTTGAATTATGACAAAACAGTACACGTTACGGAAATTCCATTTCCAACAATCACCATTTGCCCGCGAATTAAAGTATTAAAACAAAAATTGGATTTGTCATCAAGGTTCATACAAACTGATAGCGGATTTCAATTAGGAGTGAATTTATCGGATACGGAGTAAGCAAACTTGTACAATTGAATCCTATAGAATAAAAACAATATATTATTTGCTCGCATACCGAGTCGCAGCTCGGAATGGTTGCATATCAAAGCGGAACACCATTTTGTTATTAAAGGAATAAAGAACACTGACTTTTTGTATACAAAGTATGTATGTTTTGTTTTGTTCTCATAACGGACTACTGTTCTGCTACGTTACGTATATTTTGCGAAATATTTTTCATGTTGTTCGCATGACGTCAATTCAGAATCGAGTCGCCTATCAAAGCGAAACCAAATTCTGTTACTATATACGTAACGTAGCAGAACAGTAGTCCGTTATCAGAACAAAACAAAACATACATACTTTGTATACATCAAGTCAGTGTTCTTAATTCCTTTAATAACAAAATGGTGTTCCGCTTTTATATGCAACCATTCTGAGTTGCGACTCGGTATGCGAGCAAACAATATGTTGTTTTTATTCCGGAGCGTTCAATTAACAACCATACATTTTTTTAATAGGAAATCACAATTATCTGTATTATCACAACTCTGTTCTACTTTGCCTTATTATCTACCAAAAGAATACAAAGACGATTTTGCAAATGACACCATTTATGATATAATTGAAGATCTTGCTCCAAATGTCGATTATTTGTTGCGTGAGTGTCGTTGGCAGCAACAAAAAATTAACTGTTTCGATTATTTTTCTCCAGTGATGACTGACGAAGGTCTGTGCTTTAATTTCAATGGATTAAGTTCACACGAAATTTACACAGATGCGTAAGTCTAGTATTAGTATTAAATTGGTATTTCGATGCATCTAATTGCACTGTATTTGTGTAGAATGGCTTCGAGAATGATTAAAATAGGGAAAAGTCGAAATATGTCAGGATGGAGTTTGGAAACTGGTTACACCCAAAAATCCGACCATGTAAAATATCCAAGTACGGGTGATGTGGGCCAAAAGAATGGTCTTGATTTGCTTCTTTCCGGTTTTGAAAGCGATTTCGATTTTATGTGTATTCAAGTGCAAGGAGCCAGTATTAGACTGTCGGTACCTGGCGAAGCATATACTGACCATCATAATGAAGCTAATATAGATATATCAGAAAATTATCGATTAACGATTGTGCCCAGATATTCTGATATTTCGGAAGGACTACGTCGATATAAACCAGAACAACGCGATTGTTTACTTAACTCCGATCGACGATTGCGTTTCTACAAAAGTTATACTAAAGAAAACTGTTATGATGAATGTTTGGCGAATTTTATGAAGAATTCGTGTGGATGCGTTCCATTTTGGATGCCAAGTATGTAATTTATGGAATTCCATTGAGAGATATATTCATTAATTTATTTGTTTAAAGGGGATAATCAAACGAAAATTTGTGGCTCTGCAAAATATGAATGCTGCAAAGATACTTACTTCGAAGCACATTCTAATAATGGATGGTACTTTCATGTAGTATGCAAATGCATAAATCCCTGTATACACATCGTATACGATTTAAAAGT